TAAGCGATTTAATAACATGAATGATGAAATATTCAAACAATCCATTCCTTCTATTTTAAACAAATAGTGTTTATCTGCACGAACAGATTTTGAATCAAATATCAATCGTTGAAAATTCATTAAAACTCTGTAATTTATATTCGGTCCCAAAATGTATTTAAACTTGCACGATATATTTTTAGTCTTCAATTTTTGTTTCAACGAGATATATAAACTATTTCACAGATTATTGTCGAATGTTTTTTCATATTGACTTTTGGTTGGTATAACCATCGCTTATGATATGCAGGTAATCGAAGAGATAGCAGCCTGCATATTTTTATCGATGAATTTAAATTTCTGCTTATTCTACTGAATTCAGTTTTGTATAAATGCACTTGGGAATTATGTAATCTATTTCTTCCCCCATCTATAGGTTAAATAGCATATCCAACACTGCTCTTGAGCATAGCCTGTTGTTACTCTTGGAGGAAGAAAATTTTAATCTTTAGTGAAAACATGGAGAAAGCACTCATATTTCAGAGAAAAAATATGTGAAGAGTTATGATGTATTGCATATTGAAAATACAGGGCAAAATAAAAATATTCCTTCCCTTTCAAACATATATTGCATTATTTTCCCCACACCATAACTTAGATTCCGTCTGCTTTTTCTACAAATATTTCATTGTAAATATTCAGCTGTCCTCTTTCGACATTACGAATTCAAGCGCAGTACTAGATTGGCAGATACGTCTCACAATTTTACAAGTAAAACGGCTATATCTAACCGTAACTTCTATGCTAACAGTTCCTTCTTTAAAAATTCAAACTTGTGGAAATTTCTTACTAATTTTTCTTTCTAGTCAATGTTGAACTTCAAGAAATTGCATCTCGTGTAAATGTAATCTTAACCCTTCTTAATTACTGTTTTGTTGTTGTTCTTCCTCCTAAATTTTTTTTTGGTTCTTATACTTTCTTCACACTCAGTACCCCCCTTGTGTTGTAGTGGCTTTATTGTCTGAGATGGGGCGATAAGATTTTTAAAAGTTAGATGCTTATACGAAGCGGCGTATTTTTATCTTTGGTTTTCGCGTCATTTTAAAAGAAACAGTACATCAAAAATCAGTCCTCAAAGGAAGGCTGAAACGTTAACTTTCATAACATTCGTATTAGCACTTAAGTGATTGCAATGGATTCGAACTCGGAACCCGATTCCACAACGCGAGTCGGTATGCACTACCCAAACTTCAATATATATATATATATATATATATATATATATATATATATATATATATATATATATATATATATATATATATATATATATATATATATATATATATATATATATATATATAAACAGTAATTTTAATTTATTTGTAACAAACAGTTATTTCTGATGAAAGATTGAGGAAAATTTGAAATATCAAATATATATATATATATATATATATAAATAATTTATATATATTTAGTTACAAATAAATTAAAATTACTGTTTGTATATATATATATATATATATATATATATATATATATATATATATATATATATAAACAAACAGTAATTTTAATTTATTTGTAACAAACAGTTATTTCTGACGAAAGATTGAGGACAATTTGAAATATCAAATATATATATATAAATAAATAAATACTTTCATAAAATAAAACATTATTATTTTTTTCTTTTGCAAATTTTCTATATATATATATGTATGTATATATATATGTATATATATATATGTGTGTGTATGTATGTATGTATGTATGTATGTATGTATGTATGTGAATGCGTGTTTTCCTTTTAGACACTACTAAATCAAAAATTCTGATCACGATCGGGTTTATATCTATATTCATTTGACATTTCGGAAAATTAACTAAAATAATTTAATTTCTCTACTGTATCTTGCAAGAAATCAACAATAAATAAATTACTGTATACTAGTAAAATCCTGTTCATTATCGACCAAGGAGATTGTAAAGAAAAACTCGCATTGTTAGTTGTCGGAGTAAAACATAAAAATCAAAAATTGCGAAAAGCTGCAACTATGTCAGCGCGTACAAAATAAGAATGACTGTAAAAAAGAAAGAAATAATGTATTGGAGTTGCCACCTTTTCACTGAGCATGTAAGAACCGATTTTATGACATGATATTATCTACACAACTTCAAAAACTATAATTACACTGGAATCCTCGGGTTTCATCGACAAATATTCCGACAAACCTCTAGCAATTGAAGATTTAATCCGTTTAATGAGGCCAGGTTTCAATACCTTCACCATACTTAACGTCTCTATAGTTTTTGCTACGAAATTTAATTCTTGGTAATTTCCAAAATAAAATCACTAATTTGACCTTCATTTTAATGCCATTAGTTTCTAGATAAATATTTTTGCCAGCTCGAAATAAATGTTATTTTGGACTGTCATTTTTAAGAGGAAACATTTTCTCATTTTCGTATTCACGTATACGAGATTTACATTATCAACCGTGAGTCAGTAATATGTCTCTATTTTGCTTTAGGAAATGATTAAATATAGAAGATCAAAAGACAAGCGATTCTCTGCTGGTTCTATTTGAGAGCTTTGTTATCTTTACAAGAACGAAATCACAATGAAATTTCGCACACAATGAAATTGTGGAATTTTACTAGTGAGAAAACGACTTTTCAATCAAATCTTTACTTATCATTGTAATAAAAGCAAGTCACCCTCCTTGCTATCATGAATGGACTGATCCATTCAGGATAAGTAGTCTGTAGCGACTACTATGCTTTTTCACGCCCACAATTTATTCGTCTGCGATTAGCTAGTTAATCAATACTGCCTTTCTATAAGACAATCGCACTCATCACTTTGAATTTTTCGGTCGGGAACTTGCTCACATTGTTTCTTTGATACAAAATCAGTAATTGGTCAAATTTTAACCAATCAAACATTTTAGTGCTAAATCAATTTTTCGCGCGTTTTCGCTGGAAGCCTATCGGTAGCTTTAAAAGAAGCAATTTTTCCACAAGCCGCCAGTAGAGTTCACGTATTTTCGCCTGTCCACACAAATCTACGACTTTACGCACAACCTTTCAAACACACACACAGACACAGATTTTTGTAACTCATTATACATCTCTCTCTCTGTGACTCAGCCAAGTTCCATAACCAGCACACTACCAATCTCTCAAAACAACACATTACATAATTAACTGTATTCTATTCTAACAGTAGACTCTATTCAACATTTAATCTTGAACATTCTTATTCACGAGAAACATTTTCGAACATTCAATCATAAATCAGAATACAGCTGAATGGGAATAATTTTTTTTCCTTAATCTTTGCATTTAATTGCATGATTGTTTTCTGTTATATTTCAATATATATTTATTTGTTCCACAAGTGGAGTTTCGTTGTTTTTTTCTTAAATCGTTTAATGTACGATAGATATATGCGCTAAAAACACAATGAAAAGTCCTTGGTAATTGTCTATAAGGATAGGAAGATAATATTATTGCAGTGACTTTTCTAGCTGAGTATTGAATGCTACTATAACGATTGATTCCGTCAAGATAAGTGTTGTTTTTGTGAAACCCGACATCACAAGATTTATAGAAATGCTTCAATTCCAAAAGAGTGCTCAACAGTATTGTAAGATCTAATCACAGAATATCCAGTCGTTTCCTCATATGATAAAATATTTTTTTTACAAACGTCCATTTCCTAGCAAAAATAATGAAGCTGTTATCAGCAACAGAACTACCTAAGAGATAGAGGATATATTCAAATCCTGTGACGTTTGACGCTTTTATTATTAACAAGTAAAGATTGCGATATTCTGCAACATGTTCAAACAGCAAATATCGCCAGATATAAAATCTAAGATCTATAAAAGAGAATATATATATATATCTACATGTACTTATTGAAATGCCTGGAAAGATCACAGATATTTCGAAATCAAATCACTCGAGAAACGGCGATAGATGATCGGAAGTTAATAAAATTATGGACCTTATATAAATCAATAAATAATGAAACCCTGTTATAATAAGTAATTAGTACGTAAGCAACTGCACAGAAATTTAACGAAATCTCAAGCAAACACAAGACTGATATCATTGTCACTTAAGCAACTAGGATAAAAAAGGAAGGAAAGCGAAACATTAAATTATTTTATATTGCGTTCAAGAATTCTAATAATTATTTTATTTTATTTACATTGAAATTTCTTTAATTTCTATTTATTAGACCCAAGCTTTAAAAAAATAAGCTTCAAGACCAATTCTTTTGTAAATATTAATTAAACGGCCTACTAGTTCAAAGACTTAGTTGCTGCCAAAAGAAATACATGTAAACAAAGCCAGGAGAAAAAGTTACGGATAAAGTAAACATGACAATATGAGCATTGCTTTTTTTTTCCCCTCTTTAATAGAAAAGAATAGTAGAAATATAAACACACAGTGTCGTTTTCAAGCACCGATAATTGGATTGAGTGAAAAAAGTTTTAGTGAAAAGCATTTTTAAGCCTTCTACTATGGAAAGTATTGACAACAATAAACGTGGTTCAAAAATCATTTACAATTGTTCATTGATTGATTTGTTTTTTACGATTTATCTACCTATTGAAAGCCAGAATATATTTTTAAATAGTAAGACATTTTTGAGATAATAAAGAGTTACTGATACAAGTCCTACTAATTAACACATGGCAGTTGGAGGGAATAGGCGGATGAATACCTCCGACAATGGTATTTGCGTGGAGGTAAATATAATGAGCCCGACTGGATCTGGATCTCGGTTCCGAAAATCATGTCACCACCTAGCAAAATGTAATCTTGCAGGGAAGTCATGTCGAACATTAGCCATCCTAATGCACAAGAACATGTGCCCATACACTTGCAAGCAGCATTTCTTCCAAACGGTAAGCGAACGTGGCATGTATCTGAAATAGAAAATTATATTACGTAATGGTGACAAGACTTTCGGACCACCTTGTAAAATTATCTATTACACTAGCCATACTTCCCAAGCGGTCACCCATCCAGGTACTGACCAGTTCCGGTGTTGCTTAACTTCGGTGCTCATGCAGGAACTGGTGTTTCAACGTATATATGTCTGTAAGCCGGCTAAAATGAGGTACATGTATGCAAAATATATCACGTGCAAACCAAGTTGTGATCATTTTTTTTGGCCACTGTTGTGACTTTTATGTTTGAAATTATTAACAGCCATGTCCAAAAAGCGTTATTATTCTGCAAGTTAGTTTTTTTTTTAAAGTCTATCACCATTAAAGTGTGCGCGTCGTTGCGGAAGAATTTGTCTTTAAGATAATGTAAGATTCCAAGTTTAAATGCCAGGTTTCATTTTCAATTGAACAACGCCCAAATACCATTTATTTCAGCCACATAGCATAAAAGGTCCAATAGGCGATGATTAAAACGATTAATCAGGCGTATTGTCAACTGTGCTTTCAAATATATATTATGTGTTATATTCCACCTATTTGAGTAATTCATGATAACAATCTCTGCGATAACTATTTTCGGTTATGATTTTCTTTGGCATTGATTTCCTTCATCTATTCACGATTATATTCAGTCTAGCTAGATCGGACATTCACACCATCCAGCACTGTCCTATATTAAGGTCGGAATGTCATTAGAAAATAATTCTGTGTCATAACATAGCTAGTCAATGTAGGCGACCAACCCTTTTTGCGCCATGGCTAGGTGTACAGAGCAGTAGATGACGCGAAAATTCTTGTTTTGCTCGTTTATGTATATCATCATCGAAGTTAACAAACGTTGCACCTGGTAAGCGGTCACCTATTTAGCTATAGACCAGGCTTGACGTTGATTAACTTCGGTGATCGTATACATAATTTAGATTTCGATTTATAATGATAATTTCCCTATCTCCATTTCTTCGCTGTTCGAGCATATTCAGTATTTTAATATATAGTTTAAAGGTTTTCGAATATATAGATAACTTATAATCTTAATCAAATACCAAACAAGATTAATTGGAAGTACCTTATTTCGATACAAAATTATTTACTCAGGAATTTCCCATTACCGAATAAAAAACGATTTCATTGGTAGACTTCCGTGACCTACAAACATTAAGAATCTCTGTTTGTTGTAGGCATGTTAAACTATTTAAGGATTTCTATTCTATTAAACAGTTGGTTTGATTCATAATTATCAGGCGTTTTTAAACAATATTTATTATGAAAAAAGAAACATAACTATTCAACAACCACATATTTAAATGAGTATGATTATCGACACGCATTTTTATAACCTGAAAATAAAATATTTTTACTAAACAAAATAACAATTTTTATTAACAAATAACTCGCCTACACAAACGCCAGAAAATTAAGCACCAATCAAATAATTTCGGTTTATCTATCCTTTCCTGATCAAAATTCTGACGTTTACCTACCGATTAATTATTCTTCGACGTTTGCATCAACAACTGAACTCCAACAATGTGATACTAACGAATAGAAACGATTTTTTTCTTTACAAATAAATTATGTATTTCCAAGTAAACAGAGAACATTTGTACGAGAAATCTGAGCAATTTACGCTGTTATTCTTCACGCTTGTCATTTATTGAAAATACCTATCTTTTATGATTTAACTGGTCAGGAATCTCTCATAAAAGCTATGACAGCTTTGATAGATTAATATTAATTTTAGGGAATATGTCACTCAATACACAAAAAGAAGTTTATGTTCTCTAATAGAACATAACTTCGGAAATAATATATTGCAAATCCAGTGAACATAATTTTCTGACTCTAACTATTTTTTATCATTTCAAGCCAAGCAAAACAGTAAACTCACTAAGACGCAAGTGGCTATTATATGCGAGCGAATATGAGTACAAGAAAAGGGTATTAAGGAGAAGCAACAATAAAAACAGGAGTCAAGGAGATAGATTACGATTGACGTTAAATTTAACTTTTGAAGATCAAAGTTGGCCAGAAAGAATTTCCACAAGCAAGAAATGTCAAAGACAGAAGTTGCTTAGAGTGTTTACATTGTTCAGACTATTGACCCCATCTTTCTTGGCATATTCAGGACATTTCGGGCATTATACACCACGGCCTTCTTCAGGTGATTGTAATTTCGAACTTTTTGTGACGTACGGTGACCGTTAAATAGGAAGTATAACTCAAGACTCAAATTTTAAGATAAAAGAATAATTAATTACAAACGAAAATAGGTACTTAAGAACAAAGATGTAAAAGTCATCTAAATATGATTAACCACTTCAGTGAAAACGTTTTTAGTAGCGCGGCTCGTCGTAACATCCAGTAAATCCTAGATCAAAACCCAACTCATCGACGCACGGCAATTCGCACTAATTCGAATGGATAGTATATTTAACCGCACCACTACGAGGGTTGTATGTGCACTGGGCCGAGTTTAACGTGCGTTATCCGAGCCCATAGGCTCGACCAAAAATGCCCTTAGAACCCGCATAGACGGGATCTGGTTGCTCAACCTCCCCGAGCGAGGTTCTGCCCTTCGACATAGCCTCGTCCGGGGTCCTCTCTGCTCAGAGGCAGAGAGTTCGACCTGACAGCCGAAAAGATTTCGGCTAGTTTTACTTCGAATGGATAGAATATTTAGCCACCCCTACGAGGGTTGCATGCGACACAAGGCTGGGTTTAACGTGGGTTCTCCGAGTCCGTAATCTCGGCCAAAAAATGCCCGTAGAACCCGCATAACGGAATCGGGTTGGTCAACCTCCTCGAACGAGACTTTGCCCTTCGGCTGAGCCTCGTCCGGGTTCCTCTCTGCTCAGAGGCAGAGAGTTCGACCGTCTATCCGAAAAGATTTCGGCTAGTCTCAATTCGAATGGATAGTTCCAGTCAATAGCCTAACACGACTATTTATACACCTGGCGATGAACATATATTCATAAGTCCAGAGTGTCACGCTCGAACCTTAGTGTCGGTAGTTACACATTTTCTTCCGATGTGACAGAACCGAGGACTTTATTTCGGCTAGATTCTTCTAATTCTACGTGCCATGTCTCTTCCAGATATGTCAGTTTCAGGTATTTCCCTTAAAATCAACTCTCCAAGTTTTTGTTTGCCTCTGCTGTGACCAGATATTGAACTCACAACTCATTGGGACAAGTTACTGGATTGCTTCAAACAATGCTTCTATTGACCGGGCCATGTGTTCTTGAGGAGCGTACAACGGCAGAAACGTCGTGAATATGGCAACGATAGTGAGGGCAACAGTCCGAATAATGTAAGTAGTGTAAATCATTAGAAAACATCATCTCAGAAATATAGACAGGAAATTCTTAGCATAGAAGTCACGGTTATATCTAACAATTTCAACAGTAAAAGGATGAAACCTTGCAGTCAATCTAGAACTGTTAAAAATGCTAAGTACCAAAGAGGAAGCTCATCAGAACAATTACTACTGAAATATTTATATGAAAGGCAGAGGAATGCTACGTTATGGTGGTTGGAAACGTGACTGAACCAATATGCCAAGTGAGGATTAATAACTTTGCTGATTATACTTCGTCATTTATATGGAATCTCTGAATACACAGTAGAAATATCAGACCAGATGTGAAATTAAGATCCAATCCATTAATGAATGAGATATATATATATATATATATATATATATATATATATATATATATATATATATATTTTTTTTTTTTTCTATTTGCTGTTTCAATTTTCAGACCATTTTCCTTACTTAATTGTCATCTGTAACGGAAATCCATTACTAAACCCGGGATTAATGTGCACGTGCCAGTTAATCTATTATTTTTTACCTGCGTTGTCTCTTCAGAACGTATTAAATCATGGCTCCACACAAATACCTAATATCTAATGTTTCTCTCATTTCTACACCAATAAATCCTTACCCTGCTATTCATTTACACAATATGGTTAGGTTAGTTACTCACTGCTTCTTTCTGTCCGTCTTGCTTTCAATATTTCCTATGAGTATCAAATTCTTCAAGCCCTTTTCATTATTCTGTTCTAAAAATGTAACCCCCTCTTCCTAATCTTCAGTCTTATGGTTCAAATTTCCTTAAAACTGTCATTGTTCCTATACTCCGTTTATGATACTCTCAGCATCATTCTGTTGAACCGCATTTCTGTTGCCTCAATTCTCATACTCATATCTGAAGATATTAGTCAGCCTTCACTACTATATAATAGGATTGATATTACATAGCATTTCACCACCATTTTGTTTTGAGTTTTTTTTTCTATTAAATTGTTGTGTTTCTTATTACTTTACTTAGATTTTGTTAGGCAGCACCACTTCTACTCCAACAGTTTCTTTTCTCGTACTTCTCAGCAGTGGATCTCCTTTCCGTTTACTTGCTTCCCTGATAATTACAATCGTCAACAATTTAAATACAACTTCAGTCTCCAGCTTCTGTCCTCTTGAATTCCGTTCATCGCTTGTCTTTTTGTCAGTCCTCCCTACTCCCAGTCTTTCAGTTTCATTTACTCTAAACCTGCGTACTCGTAGCATTCCCACTTTGCTTTTAAATAATTAAGAAAAAAATAGTTCGCTATTTCCATAGGCTTTTTTTTTTATTTCTCTGTCAGGTTTTACCTTGTTATTTATAAAACTTTCTAGTTACTGTACTTGTTATTTCTGTATTAGTTAATTTTGACGCCTCCGATTTCTAGCGTGCGCCTTAGGCTGTTCCTGTTGTTAACTACAATACATTCTCTACCGGGTATTAAATCAGACACAGGTACATGCACTAGGGTTTTCAAAATATACAGAATACGAAACTTTCATTTTTTCCAGTTCCTAATGAACATTTCATCCACGTGCCTGTTGGTATTACAGGACCATTTCCTTCTGGTAATATTCAGTCGTATAATTAATAGTTTCAGTAGGTATACGAGATAGCGGGAAGCATTTCCAATTACTGGTGCCCAAGTGGGATGAGGAGCACGCGCAGTGTTTACTGTTTGTATGACTAGATACGACGTCCCTACGTTTATCAGAACAGATACGAGACGGTTATGTGAATCAGATAGTGTCGATTTACTTGGATTCAGTCGAGTCAGAACTACAGCATATCATCCGCATTCAA